CGCCGCCGATAACATTGTTCGGACGCGGGGAGGAGGAAACAATGGAAACTTCCTGGCCTGGGCGCCAGCACGGGGCCGGCGGCAGGTCCTTCTTCAGCAAATAACTCCTGTAGCTGGGCTTCCGTCGCCTTGTCTTAGGCCATGGTGAACCCACGCGTGTGGCAGTGTAGCGCTGAGGGCTGGTGTCCTGCAGACGGCCGAGGGATGGTGGGCTTCTCAGGGTTTTGGTCAGTTTGCTTTTAACCCAGGTCAGGTAAGAAATGCACAAAACGTGGCACCCCTTGCCATCCCATCCTACCCTTCGTGCCAAGGGCGCAGTGTGACACCCCGCTTGGCAGTTTGTAGTGGTGTGCCTGGGTCTAAGAGGCGAGGAGGTTAGGTGAGGTCGTGGCAACCTAATTCCCAGGGCCTGAGGACTGAACCCTTGCCGTGTCAGTGGAAAATGCTGTGGCTAAACTATCTAGGAAACGACATCTCCCTAGGTCTCCAAATTTGTGTGCCGCCCTCTCCCTAGGTCTGGGAATTTCAGTTACTGGTGGCCTAAGTGTGCTTTCTTCTTACGTGTCAGGGGACAGGCTGGGGGGGTCGGGAGGTGTTTCTGTGAAAGATAAGGAAAGCAATTTAACACTTTCCAGACATCACTGTAAGTTAGGGCAGCGGAAAGAAAATACTTTGTCTGCCCTTTCAAATTGCATGGTTCAGTTAAGAAAAGCATGGGTTGTACAAAGAAACAAAGGTTGGCCTTGCGCTTGTGGAAGAGGAGAGCCCAGAGAGCTCGGGCACGCATGCTAGGAACTGAAAGCAGCTAGAAACAAGGATCAGCTTCCCATCCCAGACCCGAGTCCAAAGCCACGGCATCCTCCCTCACCGGGCAAGCAGCTGGAGCTGTCTCTTGCCATGAGTTCGCTGCCTGGCACTGCAGCGTGGCGTTGCTCCTGCTGTCAGGCTCCCAAAACAATGTCAGCGGCGCACAGCTAATGAAATTCCTGCGTGCAAAACAACCTCGGGTGACGAGGGAAGCGGCGCTGACCGCTTGATGTGGGTAGCGGGTGGAGGATACGAGTGCTGATGTCTCTGAAAGTATGACCTCACTGCCAAAACAGGTATATGCTGTCTTTTTCTTTTGCTGTCTATGTGAAGACTGCCTAGCTGTCATCACTGCCTGCCTTCAACACATGAGGAAGCATTGAGGTGGGGAAGGCTTCTTTCCTCACCTCTGCAGGATGATACCTGGATTTTCTTAGTTTTGGCATGGCCTAATGCAGCTGTATGACCTTTTATTTTTTTGGTAAGGTTTGGTTATTAGGCAGAACTGAGAACACCTTTTAAAACTACAGCACTGATTAATCCTTATTCAAGTAGAGCTGTTCCACTGAACTCTGCCACTGTTCCTGGGCTTCGCTCTGTGCTGCATACCTTGCTATTCTGCTGCGGTGAATGATTAGGCCCATAGTTATGTCCTAAGTACAAGTTTTCAGGCTCTACCCTGTATTGTGTAGTGAGGTGTCACACAATTAATACGTACAAGTTTTGACATACATTTGCAATTCTGTCTCTGGTTCTTCCAGGAACGTCGCTGGCAGTGCATTTTTATCACTTGTTTTCAAGCGGCGGGTTCATCACCTAACGATGCTTCTTTTTTTCTTCTTTCTTAGGATTCACAGTTGCTTACATTTGAGGAAGATGACCCACCAGAACCGCTTGAGCTCACAGTTAAACAAGTTGTTAGTGTCGTAAAGTCGGCTCAAGAGAAGGTAAACTTTGGTTTTGTTTTGTTTCAGTGTATTTTTGGGCAGGAAATGTTAACTTTTCTTATGAGCATCAGTGTGAGTTTTATTTGTCAGTACTTCTGTACTTGACCTAAGTTTTTCGAGGCTGGTAAAAGGCTGCCTCTCTAATGAGCCCATGTAAACTCTTCGCATTGATTCACTTCTTTTGCAAGTCATGAGCAGAGTGTGCTCCAGGGCTTCTACCAAATGAACAATAACCAGGGTTATGCCAAGTTTATAGGTACACCTGCAATGAACTCATACAGCAGCCCTCTCCCCGCCCCCCCACCATCATTAGGATGGTTCCCCATCCTGTTGCTGAAGCGTGGGGTGGGGAATTCATGAAGACGGAAAGGGACACTTCTCTGAGACAGGAAAACATCTTTGTCTGCCTGTTGCTGTTTGTGTGGCTGATTACAGGTTTGCTTTATAAGTCGGAGCCGGGTAAGGATCAGTGGAACAGCTGCAAAGTCCTGAGGGTGAAGTCTTGATTCTACTGAATCCTGTATTCAGTGAGGAGCGAATGGTCTCTTTCTTCCTCTCCCACCCCCACCCTACGTACTGGGAAGTGGTTTCCCCATGCTTAGTGCATATGAAATTAAAATAAGGCAGAATGTGGCTCTTAGAACAGGGTTAAAATGTATGTGTGCTTATTAGCAATGATAGCTTCTGCATTTTCATCCTAGTGACTATAACTACTAGTCACATCTGAACTGGTGCTCAGCTTTAGGCATCTGCATCAAATTAGCCTAATGCTTTTCTTCTGGTTTTGCTTTGTTATTTTGGTTTGCTTGTCTGATTTAGATGTTAAGCTGCTCTACTATGATTCCTTTGGAAACTATGCATGCTTATCTGCCTGATACACAAGTTATAGGCACACCCTGATTGGTGGCAGCTGGGGATTGCCAATGTGCAAAGGTGTTTGTGCACTTGTTCTCCCTCTTTTTTTTTTCCTTTTTTCCTTTTTTTTTTTTTTTTCCTTTCTCCCTACCAGTAGTCCCTGCCCCAGCAGTGGGGTGTGACAGACTGGAGTTGGTAGGGCTGTGGAGTTGGCACTAGTGTTATTCTGTGCCACTGGAAGACACCATGATGGGAAATTATAAGGAGAGGGGGCTGCGAGGTCTAAAAGTGGTGTGCCATATAATGTGTGAAGCCAGCAACTGAGGGAGATCTGCTACAAAAAAAACCCCAAACCCTAGCGACTAACAGCACAAAACCCAGGTATCTTGCAGTGCAGTGTCTAAAATGTTGGAAGGCGAGCAGGGCTGCAAATGTGTTTGCACGGGAGATGGCCCGGAGGTTTGGGTCTGCTGGCAACCCTTGGCCAGTGTCAAAGTTCAGCAGTGGTGTGTGGGGCCAGCTCTGTGCTCAGAGTACTGTGCCCGTGGCTGGACCATGATGAGAGCAGCAGCTCAAGGCTAAAACCCGCTTTTGGTTTTGCCTGCGTGCCAGAACCAAGGCACGACGCTGCAGTCCTGGATTTCCCTGAAGTCACATTGTACCACTGGGAACATCTCTGCTGCAGTCCTCAGTTAACTTCGGTGTTGTTTACATGTAGATTCTGACTGTGATAGCAGCAAAGTCAGTTAGCGCCCGTGGTGCCCTGTGGGCACCTTAACCTGCTGTGGTTAAGGTTGGGCAGCAGAAGGTAGCGAGTGCTGCTGGCTGCTGTAGGGCTGTTCTCTTGCTCTCTTCTACCTGTGGCTTTGCAATCCGGCACCCTCCCTTGTGCAGTCTGTGGTCCTTGTCTGACCTTGGGTTGAGCCATTTCAGTGCGTTAATCGAGCTGTTACACTGCAGCCAGCAATCTAATGTGGTTTCGCAGCAGCTTAAACCAATATAAGCACATTTAAAAATGTATTGGATTAAGACAGGTTTGCTTACGTAAACTGGGTTGTTCTGAACTGTCCCAAAACCCATTTCTGTAATCTTGTGCACAGCTGCTGGAAAAATTTCTCTGAATTATTCTTGCTCCTTCAATTAAGGTACAACCTGAATATGTATTTGGATTTTAGTGTATAATAGCCTTAGAGTGGTGCTCTGGTAGCTGCTTTCCTTTCTTCCTTAAGTGCATAACTTTCTCTAAACACCTCAGGAGTTGTCCCATACAGTCATTCTCTCTTGTGTATTCGTCAGGTGATACCAAGGGACCAAAGGGGTTTTTTTTTGTGGTGTTTTCTTCCCCCCTGCCCCTGCTCTTCAAACTCTTAATCTTTGCATATGAAATTGAAATCTCTCTCTGCAGCTTGTCCAAACGCAAACTTCTGATACGCATTTGTAACTCACTACTGGTGTCACTGTCTCTGAATGTAGTTTGCGACCATATGCTGCATGTTTAACAATGTTGTATCATCCCGCAGAGCTGTGCACTTGCCTGAGGCATCAGCTGGCACAAGATCATTTTACTGCAACCAGTTCAAAATGCTGCTTTACTTGTGATCTGTACGGCAAGAGCGTATATGTGTCTTGGCTCAGCAGCCAGGGCTTGATCTATTGCATGTCATTTCAAATATGTGTTCGACCTTGCATCAGAGAAGTTGTGGTCATCAAAGGAAGTGGCAGATTGAGGGTGAGAGATCAAAATAGCAGTAAACATGGGATGTGCAATACTTTTAATGCAGATGTGTGCTGATAGAGCCCTGTGGTATGTCTTTTGTGGTGGGTGGTCCTCTGTCCTTTTGAATGCCGGGTGGTGGAGCACACCCAGGCAATGGGCCTGCCTGGTGCTGGGAGCGAGCCTCCTGCCTGGGAAGGTTTTGCAGGCAGTCCTGCTCCGAAACAATACGGGATTGCCAGCCAGACTGTAATTATTATATTACTGCAGACAGCCCTGTTTATGACCAGGACACACGCCGACACGTGCAGGCCTGAGGTATACACATACTATCCTTGCCTTGAAGAAGCTGGAAGCTGTAAAACTGGTGTGTGCTCCATGGTGCAACGCTGCCGGCGCAGTTAGGGAAGCTGCTGGTTGTGAGCTTGGCCAAAGCCCTTGTGATAGGGACAGAGCTGGTCTGTGGCTGAAGGTTACACCACACTGCTTCTTGACAAAGCCTCTATTTATACGTCGCCTTCACTCCCAATTTTGGGCCAGAGCCTAAATATATAGAATGAAGTCGCCTGTTTTCATTGTGTGGTGTTGGTTGTTTTGTTTTAATAAAGTAAACATTAGCAATATTCTTAGCTAATTCTGCCAACCTTTCTATTACTGCAGTCTATTTCCAGAGGTTTTGAACTTCACAACAACAGCAACGTGATGATTCTCCTGTTTGGGACTTGGCACAGACGGTTTAGACGGAGCAGACTAGAGAAGCCTCCCTTCTTTTCTTGCTTCATGCTTAAATAGAAAGGGGGAAAATGCCCTTAGAGCACCATTCCTTTAATGAGTGATAATCAGTTGCTATACAAGGAATGACTGTCTTGGATCACAACAGGCAACAGCAAATATGAAAGCTTGCTGTTAATTTGTGTGTGATGAATCTTGCTGGGGGAAGTGGTGGAGAGAAAGGAGGACTGTTTAGCATGCTTGTGAGAGGTCCTGTTTTCTGATGAGCTGTGCAGCATGCCCAAAAAGGCACCCACATGGCTGTCGTGGCTTCATCTGGGTATCACTTCATTTGCAGCCACCCTGCTGCGAGCTGGCAGGCTGCCTCCGTGCCGTGCTGGGGCACTGGGGCTTCTACTGCCACTTGCTCTGAAGCAGGTAGAAACATTGTGCAGCAAAGGCTGCTTTCTGCTCCGGGAAAAACTGGTTTCTCGTCGTCACCACTACAGTACTAACTGGGACTCATTCCTAGTTACGTACGTGTGTTTATTTGTGATTATTTTTGGTGGGGTGAACTGCCCTGACCATCATGTGCAGTTCCTATTGTCCTTTAACTCCCTGTTTTGCTTGAAAAGCTGTCCTAGAGCTTTGCTGCTTTAATGACTGGGGTTTTTTTACAAGCCCAAGTGGAATCGTGGCCCATGCAGCTTTTTTTTCCCTTTTTTTCTTTTTTTCTTTTTCTGTACTAATATAATCCTTTATCCTTTATGTATTTACTTTTCTTTCATGGTGCTTGCTGTCACTAAATATATTGTGAAGGAATTATATTTCCTTCCAGCCTTTGTTTACCTTGGCTAAATAAGTTGTTAGTTAAGTCTCCTTTCATGATGTTGTCCTGCCTCCTAAGTCGCTCCTGTGCACTCATTCTCTGCAGCAGCTCCAGTTAAATCCATTTTATTGAACTTGATAGCTGAAGTGACACACAGCAGTACAGGTGAGGTCTTACCACGCAAGGAGGTTACTGCTTTTTTCTATCTCTGAAAGTACTTTCTTGATGCATTTTAGGCTTCTGATCTGCCTTTCCCGTGGCTGTTTCACTCTGTGACTGACTCAGTGCATCCAGGTCTCTCTTCCTTTGGTGTTCTCCCAGTGATAAGCTGCCCTCTGTAGGAGTAGTATTTCATTCTCATATACGCACGCTCTGTATTTTGAATTGCGTTTCTCTTCTGGGCTTCAAGGTTTTTCAGCTTTTCTGTGTGATTCCTAATCTTCCTCTATATTGCAGCATCATGCTTTCTTTTAGATTTCTCCTGAGGGATTTTGGACGTTAACAGTACAGTGGGGTTGATGCCTGATGGGCTGCTTTGTAACGTGCTTCCAGCTTTCACTTCCCTGCTCGCTGTACAGTCCTCTCCCTTTCAGACATGTCCCCGTTCACCTTAATGTGGCAATGATGCAGTATGAGCTTATTTATCAGTGGGGTAACCCTAGTGAAAGAGACAAGACAACATAATGGATTTAACCCACGTAAGAACTGAGTGGCTTGTCAAAGGAAGACATCAGGGTGGGGATTTGTTTGCTTCAGTGGAGATGATACTGGTTTTGGCACGGTCAGGTACACTGCCTGTCTTCCAGCTGCTACTGCAGATGTGTGTGGGCCTCCTTATAAGCGTGTGCCGCATCTGCCAACCCGGTGCAGGGGTCAGGGATGCCTCGGCAC